CCATGACCAAATCCATATGAAATTGACAAGTTCATGTGTGTCAAAACGCGTTAAAATACTCGAGAAGTTACTGTTAAATGACAAACCAATTGAAGTATCTGATGATTGCTGGATAGCAGTTAAATGTCAGTCAGGCATTTATGATCGACTCGATCCAAGATGTATTATTCATTGTTCCAAAAGAACATGTAAAGAAATAATCAATCAGACCTGTCTAGATATGCTACCCGTACCAGCAGGCACAATGGTCTTTGGTCATATATTCTTTATCTATACTAAAGAAGATTTGATTAAGTCCAATGCTCGATCAATATCACCTAGTTATGTATGCTACAATGATCAACTTTGTGATAAATTCTATCCAAATAAATCATTAATTTCATTTAATAATGCTACATGTCGTCGTCCTGCAGATTTTCCATTACAATTTAAATTATTCGCGTTCGCCAGAGGTAATTGGTTCAGTATGTATGTCTTACCACTATATCAAGATCTTTCCCACTGCAACAAAATTCACTATAATGAATCTGCAAATTGTAACAATTTAACCATGTATAAATGTATTAATTCATCAATGTGTATCTCAAAACATCGACTTTGTGACACCATCACAGATTGTAAATACAAAGACGATGAAGAGTGCGCTCAAATCAATGGTTCTTGTTTATTATATGGATTAGATGATCTTTTTAAATGTACGACAACAAATATCTGTATTTCTCCAGCACTGGTCAAAGATGAATGGTGCCAGTGTGGACTTGATCAATATACCTTTTGTGATGATGAAGATCTAAACGATCTTTATATTAGAAAACATATATCATTTGGAACTATTTGTGATGGTTTTACAGAATTAATACCTGTTACTATTGATGGACGAAGTGAAACAGATGAAACAGAATGTGAATATTGGCAATGTAATAATACTTATACACGATGTGATGGGTTTTGGAATTGTTTTAATGGAGCTGATGAAGTTGATTGTTATTCATCATCATTATCATTTAATTGTCCATATCAATATTATCACATTTGTGTTTCACCTCATACACATCAATTTATGTGTTTACCTCTTGGAAAAGCGCATGATGATAATATTGATTGTATTGGTGGTACTGATGAACCTAAACTATGTCGATCAAATGATTATCGATCTAGCTACAAAAATTTTCAGTGCATCAATGACACAGGCAAACTTTGTATTAAACCCGAAGACTTGTGTTATCAAAGTCATTGCCAAGACAGAACTGATATACAATTTTGTGACAACACTCGAGATATCCCCATACACTCTACTATTTGTGATGAACAGTATGAAAGCGTTCGTTCTGAAGTTGAAAATTTCTTTTGTACACGTCAATTGGATGCCAATAAACCGACAGTGATACATTTTTCACTTGGTAAATCAACGAACTCAACTAATCAAATAACTCAACAACATACAAATGAAATGATCTTACATTCATCCACCAGACAAACAGCTATCCAACAGCATCAGCAACGTTGTCATCGTGGTCTTCCATTACAAATTTGGTTAAATATTGATAAAAACTTGCCTATTGCCGCATGTCTTTGTCCACCTAGTTTTTATGGTAATATGTGTCAATATCAAAATCAACGTGTTAGTCTTACATTACGATTTCAAACATTTTCTGATTCTCGACAAACATTATTTGCATTAATTATTTTACTTATTGATGATAGTAATGAAAGAATTATTCATTCATATCAACAACTTACTTATATTTATATTCGAGATTGTCAAACAAAATTTAATATTTATTTACTTTATTCAACTAGACCAAAAAATTTAACAAAAAATTATTTCATTCATATTGATATTTATGAAAAGATTTCATTTACATATCGAAGAAGTTTTTTAATTCCACTTAAATATCCATTTTTACCTGTGCATCGTATTGCTGTTCAACTTAATATTCCACGTACAAATGATAGACAAGAAAATTGTTTAGATCAACCATGTATACATGGTCAATGTATTAGATATTTAAATGATAAAAGTTTTTGTCAATGTTATCATGAATGGACGGGAAAATATTGTACTATTCCATATAGATGTACATGTTCATCTGATTCATTATGTATTGGTATATCATCAAATAATCGATCGATTTGTATTTGTCCACGTCATAAATGGGGTTCTCAATGTTTACTTCATAATACAATATGTTATTCAAATCAAAATGCTACTTGTCAGAATAATGGTAAATGCATACCTATTGATGAAAATATCATCTCTTATAAGTCATTTATATGTATCTGTCCAAAAGGATTTAGTGGAGAAAGATGTGAAATAGTTGATAGTAAAATAATTCTATCATTTCATAAAGATATTATTTTACCACAAATAATGTTTGTTCATTTTATTCGAGCGATTGATAATGGTCCACATGAAAATGGTTCTACTTTCAAAACTATTCTTGCTGATCAAAAATCAGTTACTATTCAATGGGCACATCCATTTCATGTCGCTTTTCTTGATTTTTTCAATAATAGCTACTATTTAATTATTATTCAAAATAAATACAATCCATCGACAAGAATTATTCGAACAATTACTCCATTAGATCATTGTAAACATATAAGTGAAATATTGAATGAAACTATCATGAAACTTCATCCTCTTCGTCGTATCAAATATTATCAATTACCATGTCAAAAACGTTCACCACTTTTATCTTGTTTCTATGATGATAATCATTTTTGTTTCTGTAATGATTATGATCATCAACGTTTAACTAATTGTTTTGAATTCAATCATGGAATTGAACATAATTGTTTTGGTCAAAGTAATTGTGAAAATGATGCACATTGTTTACAAGACAAAGCAACTTGTCCACAAACATCAATATGTGTTTGTCCAAAATGTTTTTATGGAGCAAGATGTCAATTTACTTCAAATTTATTTGATCTTTCACTCGATGCTATCTTAGGTTATTATATTCAACCACGTATAAATATTAAACATCAACCATCTATTGTACAAGTCAGTGTGGCATTGACAATAATCATTATCATAGCTGGAATTACTGATAGCGTTCTATCGATAATCACATTTGGAAATAAAGAATCACGTAAAACTGGTTGTGGTCTCTATTTGTTGACTTCGTCAATTATTACTTTACTTATTATGGTTATTTTTGCATTGAAGTTTTGGATACTTATCATTGCACAAATAACATACATGACAAATCAATCATTTTTAAAGTTTCAATGTATTTCAATAGATTTTTTTCTACGAATTGGTCTTAGTATGGATCAATGGTTAAATGCATGTGTAGGTATAGAAAGAACAATTACCATAATAAAAGGAACTAGATTTGATAAAAACAAGAGCAAACAAATAGCTAAATATATTATTCTTATTCTTCTCGTTATGACTACTAGCACAACTATTCATGATCCTATTCATCGACGTCTACTA